GGGGGCAATGGCAAAAAGTGAACAACCGGGCGGGAGAAATTTTTTCCCAACTCTTCAAATTTATCTCAAAGCCACATACGACCCTCCCACCCTCCCTCTCCCAACAATGACCAAATACGACCCCCTCTCCCGCGGAAAATCACGACCCCCATGTGTTTCACACACACCTGTACCCTGGGTGCAACACTCGCGTCGATGTCAAGGTCCGGCAGCAAGCCTTACAGACTAATAAGAAGTGGGAAGGCGCAGACAAGTGACACTTTGGTTATGGTTAGACGTGTGGCTGGCCAGCCCCGTTCCTGTGCACTTTTGACCGCAGAAAGTGCCACGGTACTGCAGCTGCAGACTCACTCACCCCGTATATGGTAAGAAACAGGATCTACAGAGGTGAGTGTAGTGTTTGTCTTTTATTAGCAGAATGAGTTGAGATGTGTTTCGAGCACGGGTAACTTCAGCACGTAGTCCACTGTAGCTCTAGTTTATGACTAGGTGATAATTAGATCGATTCCCAGGGGGAGTGGAAATATGAGAATTTACGCTCCTACAATTGGGCTCCAGTAGGATTCCTTATCTCAGTCAACTTTTCAAACGCCTTCGCGTCATTAACCCAAACATACACACTTGAAGGAAAATGAAAGGAAAACGTCCAGACATTAAATAAAAAATTGTGAAAATCTCAAATAAAATCAAATCTGCAGGGTCACTTACGCATTTCATCAATGAGCGCCTGCATATCACCGGAGCAGTCGGGCGCCGCCGAGCCGGATATTTCCGGCTGAACGTCGCCGTTCGTCCACATCTGCAAACGACTATAATAACTAGTTGAAATCATATTCAAGCGAGATAGCCCACAAAAGGTGGAAACGTAAGAGATCGATGATGATTCTCTTAGGCACAGAATAAAATACTCAGTAGTGGTACATTCACAGAACTGCTCTGGGAATACAAATGTGAAGTTAATATAGAGTACACGTTTCAAAGGATGACTACACTCACTGAGACATTGGAATTATCGGAAGAGACTTTCTGAGCACGTTTTGACGAACAGTAAACCTCCGCCAAAAAACAGGGCAAGTCCTCCTATCAGGAAAAAATATAGCAAAATACGACCCCACCCCTTCGAAACTTCCTTCCCTGACACGACCCCCTTCACTACTCCCCATCTCCTATTCTATTCCCCAATTATTATTCCCCTAATTCTCCCAATTTTCTACAACTTTGATTTTTTCAGGAACCTACCGCCGACAAAGGGGACAGTGGGGGAGACGGTAAAGAGGATCGTAATTCGCCGCACCGCCACGCGCGGCGATGGGCGCGGCGTTTTCATAACTCGTTTTAACCTGTCGAATGGAGCACCGGACTTCATGTAGACCCCGTCATCGTAGACACTCATTACTGTTTTCGGTCCTTAATTGCATGTTGTCGCCATCTACTGCCTGAAACCATCGTCCTTTGCGGGCGGGACGTCGCACGCGACGCCCAGCAGCGCGGCAAATTACGATCCTCTTGTCACATACCCCGACAGTAGGTGGGAAATAGCGACATATAGAGCGCCTCATTGAAACGGAAAAACCATGAGAGTAAAAAGCCGGAAACATCCTTTCCGAAAGTGAACACTATCCATCTCCTTCCACCAACCCGAGACGACCTCCTTGCTGGGGTCCCCAACCTATGCATGGTCTGACAGA